TTCTGTTCTCGCTAAATGTGTGGAGTATTTTTTGTGGGGATGGAGGAACTGTTGGAATTTTTAATGATTTCAGTACTGTAATTCCTTTATGAACAATTTTCAAGCAACTTCTAATGATATTGAGCAACATTGCAAACCACGGAAATTGTTTTAACTAGAGCAAAATTCTTAAACATTAACAAGTTGAATTTTAATGGCAATATCATCTAAGATGCAAAGGAAATAGTCCTAATTATGTGTGTAACACTTACATAGGTATTTTGAAAATATTGCCTAAAATTTACATGCCATCTTAGAATGTAAAGAAATATCATTGGCTAAATCAGCTCCAATATATTAAAAAAATTATGAGTGGGTATGGAAACAACAGATATTAACGAGTTTTAGATTTTCACATCAACTATGTGGACAGTGATATGACGTAATTTTGAAGATTTCCGCAAGCGTCAAGTCGTCTCCCTTGTCCACTGCTTGAATCGACAACACATTTACTATGGATTTATCATTCTCTCTACAGCCTAAAAGACTTCTCATTTGTGACGTCATACACAATTTGTTGCTCAGAACAAAACCAAGATCGCAAAAGATCGTGAGAAATCGTTTTTTTTTAATGGTTTTATTTGTTGGACTTCCCGGAAACGTAAAAGATCATAATGGAGTAGACATAGCAATACCACAATGCAAAGCCATTTAGGTTAATGCTGTCCAAAATCTATCAAACAGAATGATAAACATTGTTCAAATTTGGAGTTTGAAAAACTAACCTTGCACAAATTGCCTGCGAAAAGTAATAATGAGATTATCAGACTACGTTTTTAAGATTGGATATAAGAAAAGAAGTATTAGCTGATTGTCTATTTCAACACCAAACGATAAGGACTCTTAAATTATCAAGTCAAATTCTACTAACTGCTTTTTATTTATTTTTTTTTAAATTGATGTTGATGATAGTGTAAATCAAACTACACAAACAGATACACGACCAGAAACTAGGTCATATGATAAGAAAATGGGTATTAAAATACCAGACCTCTACAAACCCAAACAAATACAAATCAATGACAAGTTACTATTACAGCACACGTCAAATAACACGGACCTCATCAATCACCCCAAATATATACACCAGACAGCGACAACACCACTCATCAATTAAACAGTCAAACAATCAATCAATCGCTATATTTAGGTTATGCCTAGCTGTATAATTCGAAAACTCCGTTGACGGCTACATTTACACTAAACAAGATAACGACACGATAACGACATATCATAGCGTCTTTTATATTCCTCATCATCGAGGGCATTTTATTCGTGTCGTTGTCGTGTAATTATCGTGTAAATGTTAAGAATTTCCGTTTCCGTAAAACCGAAACTGGTTCGACCAGTGAAACGCAAGATTTTCATTTATGCAAAAGCTAATTACTTACAATTGATGAGCATATCCAACCTTTTGATGAAAAGGTGACACCTGATTATATCCAATATGACTGTGGATCATTTAGTGACCGAACTCGACAATGTTATTCTTAGTCAGTTTATTCCTTCAAAAATGTCTTCCTCATGAATAAACACCATCAAGAAAAACCTTCGCAAGAAGAAAGGTCTGTATAAAATAGCTAGGTAAAGAGACACGCCAGCTACATGGGACTTTTTAAAAATATTTCGTAGAACATCTGATAGAAATATCAGGAATAGACAAAATAATGTCTCTTCCAGTGTAGCACACATTTTTTTTTCTATAAATATTGATTTTTGCACTCAAAATGTCCATTATGCCCTTTTGCCGTGGGTTTTCCGGTTCAAGACATGTTGACAAACTTTGGCAAAATGATATAAGTACACAGTTTAGTTCCTTTCAACGCAATTTTAAGTCAGATTATTCAAAAATAACATTCAATATATAATTTCATATGTTATTCTTGCATAAACTATCAAATAAATGTACAATAATACCAAAGAAACGCATTAAATAATACTAAAATTACAAACTATTAAAAACCCATGTATAGGCTAACCAAGTATACAAACAAGAAAATGAATTAACATTAGTATGCTGTGATGTATTAACAAAGCCTTTTTGGCTCAAGGTGCTAGATCGAGGACTCTGTGGGTAGGGGGCCTTATGGACCCCTAGGGGTCTGGGGCCCTGCACAAGAGCGCATAGGCGTTACGTCACTGCGTGAAGGATGCATGCGTATGCGTATAATGAAATAGAACTGCTGTTTAGTTAGAATGCGCGTGTGACTGTTTCTATGTGTACGTTAACCAAGAATTACAATTATTTTTTTAATTTTATTTACAAAGTAAAATAATAAATATATATTTCAATTCATGTAATTACAATTTAAATTAGGCCTATAATAGGCCTAATTTAATTAATAATAATAATTATTATAATAATAATAATTATTATTATTATTATTATTAGAAATTCTTCTCTATAATCCAAATTCAAGTAATAATAAAATGATTATGAATATTATTGTTTTTTTAATATTCTAATAACATATTTAGAAAATGTACCGGTATTATATATTTAGATTTAGATGGAAAAGTAAGTTGTTGTTTGCTTAGTGAACACAGTTGATTCGAGTGAACTGTGCAGTTATACCTTTTTGTTATGCCATTTGCTATAAATAAATGTTGTAGTTGTGCCTCTTTGCCATAGTTATTTGCTAAATAATCGTTTTAGTTGTCCCTCTTTGCCACTGTTATTTCTAATTGAAATGTAAATTGTTATTCTGCGATGGTTAATTTTTTTCTATAAATAAGTAAAATAATAAATATATATTTATAAGTAAAATAATAAATATATATTTCAATTCATGTAATTACAATTTAAATTAGGCCTATTATTATAATTATTATTATTATTATTATTATTATAAATTTTTCTCTATGATCTAAATTCAAGTAATAATAAAATGATTATGAATATTATTGTTTTTTTAATATTCTAATAAAATATTTAGAAAATGTACCGGTATTATATATTTAGATTTAGATGGAAAAGTAAGTTGTTGTTTGCTTAGTGAACACAGTTGATTCGAGTAAACTGTGCAGTTATACCTTTTTGTTATGCCATTTGCTATAAATAAATGTTGTAGTTGTGCCTCTTTGCCATAGTTATTTGCTAAATAATTGTTTTAGTTGTCCCTCTTTGCCACTGTTATTTCTAATTGAAATGTAAATTGTTATTCTGCAATGGTTAATTTTTTTTTTATTAAAGAGTTACTATTTTCCCATAGTTTATTTCCATAGTATTAAACTGTTGCCATTCAAAGTAAGGCAAGATTATATAGCATAAATTAACTAGACTTATCATGTTTGCCTAATATTAACTAGACATATGCTACTGTCAAGAATCATACTATTTAACCAATTTCTATTTACAAATTGTGAGTACACAAACAGTAAGAATAATAAAACTTAACAAGCAACCTTCATTGTAACCAGGGAGAAAGCTCTCTTCTGATTGATTGGCTGTTGAAAGAACGTCACGCTTCAGCATATCACAGCCTATCTTTGCAGTTATGCCCTTTTGCCTTGGGAATTTACTGAAAATTGTGTAGTTATGTCCTTTTGCCATGCCCTTATCTAGCCCGGGGGACACTTTTTTACAATTTTTTTTTGTGTCAACATGTGTAACATGATGTACTGACCCCACTAGGCTATATAACTCATTTTCGCTAAAAATGTCAGTTATGCCCTTTTGCCATGGGGGGGGGGGCAGCATAGTTGAAAAAGCAAACGTCTTAAATGATCAGTTTTGTTCTGTTTTTACCAAGGAATGCTTAAAAAAACTTACCTCTTATTACTATAAATAAACTATAAACTGGTGTAGAGAAACTCCTTAAAGAAATAAAACCCAAAAAGGGACCTTGGCCTGATGCCATCGTACCTAGAATTCTGAAAGAATGCGCCTCGTCTTAGCCCCAGTTTACACAAAGATTTTCCAAAAATGTCTGGATACTGGCAGTTTATTTAAGCTTTGGCATGAGGCCAACGTCACCCCGCTTTTCAAAAAGGGAGACAGAAAGAAACCTGAGAACTATAGACCAATATCATTAACTTCAGTTCCATGTAAGCTCTTCGAACATGTATTGCACCATCATATAACAAACCATATCGGGAAGTACAATATCCTAGCCAACGCTCAACACGGTTTCCGTAAGTATAAATCAGGTGACATCCAACTAGCAGCTATGATTAATGACTTAGCCAAAGCATTAGATAATAGAAGTCTAGCTGATCTATCATAATGAATTTCAGCAAGCCTTTTGATTCCGTGCCTCACCAACGACTACTTAAAAAAATTGATAACATTAGAATAAAGAACAATGCACTGAAATGGATTGAGATGATTCATTAATCAACGCCACCAACAAGTTATGGAGGGAATATCATCGTCCAAATCCAAGGTAGCGTCAGGAGTTTCACAAGCACTGTTCCTGGACCCTTGTTGTTTTTAATATACATAAACGACCTTCAACATAAAATATCCTGTCATGTATTTGTTTGTTTGAAAGGCATAAATGTAGCTTATTGTGTAATATGTTCCTGGTTCAATTCCTGGAAGACCCTGCTAATTCTTGTTTTCTTTACAAAAGGAAAAAAAAAAAACCTATTAATCAATCAGCAGTATAATAGAGACAGTAGAGTAATAATAATTTATTAGGAACTACACGTTTCAATCAGTTGCACACTTCTCAATCAAGGTAAAGTTTGTCAAGTTTTACAAAAAAGACTTATGCTAAGAAAAAGACAATTCAAATTTTCAAAAGGGACATAAAGGAAAAGAAAAAAAAAAAAAGAAACTATTCAGCCACATAAAATTAAAAGCAATCTTAAACTAAAAAAAAAAAACTTAAGGCAAAATAAAGTGATGCAAACAATCACATGAACAATTATACAAACACTATACAAACGTACATGAAATACACATACATTACATAAGTACATATATATCTATATACAAATGTATACCCAGTCACATGACTGTACCGTACTCACAATTATTAACATAAAGACATACAGTACATACTGAACTCTATACTACACCACTTATCCCACAAGAAGCACACATATCAGGCCAGATAACACAGAAGCATATAAAAGTAAATCAAAAGTCATAAAGTAATACAGGACTAAAATCAAAAACGTTCGTTTTCTTTTTTGATCTCATCTCTCTTTTTCCATGCTCTTGTAGCATACCTTTTACAAAATTTGTCAAATTTTCTTCAATTTCTTTTGGAAGATTTAGTGAAAAAGAGCCAAGAACATACATTAACTTCTGATCGGTTGTTGAATTTATAAATTGGTTCCAAATAGGCCTATTTGTATTTACTACTTCATGTTCAAGCTTTGCTAGTTCTTCCAATCTCATGTTATGGAGGGAAGGACATGAAAAAAGAAAATGTCTAATATCTTCAATTGAACAAGAGCTACAAATAGAACAAATGCCATCATTATTATCGGACCAACTTGAGATTCGTTTTTGTAACGGTAAAGTATTGGAGCGTAATCTAAATTTTATACAAGCACCCTCAAAATCTGTAGTTTCAAGTAAATATTTTTCTAGGCAAGGGCTTTCCTAATAATTGAGTAATCTAAAAGGGAATATTTTTGATCAAGATAACTTCTCCAATCAGTACAAGCTTGTTCTTTAAGTTTATTCAAAATGAAGTTGGTCCAATTTCCAATGGGATAATCAATGGTATCACATATTAATTTAAATAAATTTACTGACTCACATTTTGAGAAAACATTGGAAACACATTTATGAAATTTAAAACGGAAATTATCAAAGTTACTATCAATGTGTAATAAAGCCTTAAGTAAAAGTTTTGGCCACCGATGTGATTCCATATGTATAATGCGATGAAAATATTTTATAATATCGTGCATAACACTAATTGGCAGCCAGCCAAGTTCACCATACAAAGTTGCACGTGGGGTATTTCTAGTTGCTCTAAGAATATAGCGTGCCATCTGCAATTGTAATTGTTCAAGTTTGTCAATATCTGACTTATTTAGGGAACACCACACAGCTGAACCATAATTTATAGATGGGAGACCAATTGTTCTCCATAAAATATCCCCATAGTATATCCTATTACAATTATTGCAGTTATCAATCAATGATTAGCAATTAGTCTATTGCACTTTGTAATTACATTCTGGAATTGTACATTATCATTTAGTTTCCTGGATATATTAACCCCAAGATATTTGTATGTCTCCGCTTCTACAATGAAACCATCACCTAACTTCCATTGTTTTTCTTTATCAATTCTTTTTCCAAAAATTAGAATATTAGATTTGTCGAAATTAAAATTTAATTTCCATGTTTTAGCAAATAATGTTGCAAGATTTAGCTTTACTCCTTGTTCAATCTCAAAGAGTTATGTGTCTGTATCTCCGAGTCTAACTATACCATTAACCTCTGCATAAAGTTTATCAACCATTCTCCAAATCTTTCCCCTAATACCCGATAACCAAACAGCTTTAAGTTAGCCATCACGCCAAACGCTGTCGAAAGCTTTTCGAAAGTCCAAGAAGGCCATATAAGTGTGTTTGTTTTAATTTAGCCGGGAAGCTGCCACGTTTTTGAGAGTAAAAATATGATCATCACTTCTACATGTTGTACGAAAACCTCCTAGGACTTTCGAAAAGGTATCATTTCCTTCAAGGAAGTTAGAGATATTAAATGATAAGATACGATTAAATATTTTGAAACACAAGAAGTTAGAGATACACCTCTGTAGTTATCCAGGTCTCTGCGGCTACCTTTCTTATAAATAGGAATAATAATGCATTTATTCCATTCTTTAGGAATTTCTTCATTAATTAAGTAATTCGTTGGTTATACTGTCTAAGCCAGGGGCTTGATTATTTTTTGAAAGTGAAATTTCCTCTTTAACCATATCAGTATTAATAACAATATCACATAAAAAATTTTCGTTCCATTGGTGATCATATTCATGAGAAAGATTATCTCTAATTTGTTTAATGAAACGACTAGTCAAGTAAGAATTACAATCGTTTAAATCCATGTTGCCTTTTCCAAGAGTATATTGGCCCTTATGGCAGTCCATACTAAAACGATCTATTATTCAATGACCAAAAAAGATATATTACTCAATGACAAAAATAGATTTGTTAATCAATAAGCAAAGTACTCATAGAATTCCTTATCGGAACTAACAATTACAAATTGAGCAGGAAGTGTCACCATTCCTTAAACCTGTGAACGATTATCAACTCATGATATTATGTCAGCCGATAAGAGGGCCGCTACAGCAATACAGCAAATCAGAACAGTACATAGTTTGAAACGGTTTATCATTTCACCCCGAAGTTCAGCGACCTGTCGTTGCAGAGTTATGGTAAAAAGAAGCAGGAAGTATACCAAAAAACACTCTAATTTTAACCTTTTTCCAATGCAAAAGCATAAGAGGTAGTCAACTTTAAAAGAAAAATGATCACTCAATTGTGCATTAATTTTAAGAATAATATATAGATGATCATAAAGCTTAAAACATCTAGTTTTATAATCTGATCGCCCCAGATTACCAAAGGAAAGCATTCAAATTACGCCGTGGCTAGAGATACGGTACCGTATCGGAACTTACGATTGCTAAAGGTACGGTAAATGGTATTGCGTCATGATTAGCCACTAGAAACGCCGATTCGTGCGTGACGTCATTCAGTGCACTGCTGCTGCAAGCTAATAATGAGTCTATGGAGTGCGATATCGCTCAGTATTCGGTTCCTGAACTGCAGTTCAATTAGACATTTACTGCAACGAGTTCTCTGTCCTCTGATTGGTCAAAATATGCATGGAGGGCGCTAAACTCGCAGCGGTAACTTAAACCCACTGCAGTAAATTTTTTCTGCTCTGTGATTGGTTGGAATTTGTTGCCAAGAATCTTGCTGCAGAAAGTTTAATATACCACCCAAATGCTTTACTACGATGTATTTGATTCGTCGATGAATTAGATACTATACCACCATGCATGAAGAGTATTTTAACGTATAAATGTATCACACTTGCATTTTACACCCCAAGATTCAAGATGGCATTTATTGATGGTCAGGCGAAGGCCTATATTATTGTTACTACTGGTGAGAAAATTGTCAGCCAAGTAGAAAGCGTTTAGTGATATTGTTGTTGTAAAGCGTTTAGTGATATATATATATATATATATATATATATATATATATATCACTAAACGCTGCAACCTATGCCTAACAGTAAAGTATTACATCATCGCATCCGACCGTAACAAAACATTAAACAAACGATCAGAGTTGATCTCCGCCTGTTGTCACCGCAACAAATACTTGCTCAAGAACTGTTAATTTCCACGCCCACTTTCTACAAACCTCAAGCCCATCACTTATAATATACCTGTTCCTAATGAAAACATTTTCTCCCAGCTGTAAATTCCATATATATACCATCCTC